CCCCCGCTCGCCCTCCATTTCCATCATGCATTTGCACCGGCTCCCACAGATGACCCCGAGCAGCTGACTCTTGCACATAGTTCATCCCCTCAGGTCAGCATGGAGTTTGTTTTATGGCCCTGCGCAGTATCGGCCCGTGCGAAGAGATCACCGTCTTCTATGGAGCCGACTACTTTGGCCCAGGTAATATCGAGTGCGAGTGTGAAACGTGCGAAAGGTACGATCTCTCTTTCCTGCGGAGTTTCTCTCCCCTCACCTGCACCCCGGCGGCTTGGTGGTGTGCCCCTGCTGACCGCACCTCTGTCTCATGGTCATCCCGCGATTTGGTTGGTCCCCCCCCCCCCCCCCCCCCCCCCCCCCCCCCCCCCCCCCCCCCCCCCCCCCCCCCCCCCCCCCCCCCCCCCCCAGCGAGCAGAAGGGAGCCTTCTCAAAGTGTACGTGCTCCTCCTGATTGCCGCCTCACTTGGCCAATCCCTGACTTCCTACCTTTTCTCTTCCACAGCAGCCCAGCGTCCGGCCGCACGTGCAGAGTCCCCGCGAGCGGCCTCCGACTTGGAGGCACCCGCCCCGGCCGACCTCGTTCTCACGGATGTGGATGACAGGCCGGCCGAGCCACCCGCTCGCGCCCGGCCAACCCGGCCCCAGCGCCAGCGTCCACAATATGGTGCGGCCTTGGCGGTCAGCACCGTCGCCTTCCCCGCCCGGCCCTGATGCATTCCCCTGCGACTCACACCATGGCGAATCCGGTGTCCTCCTGCCGGCTGTCCCCCCCCCCTCTCCCCCTCCTCGTCCTCTCAATCTCAGTGCATCGTGAAGAGGCCAAAACCCATGCCTCGCGAGTGGCCTGCGACCTGTCTTCCTCGTCAGCCCTGGCTTCGGCACAGTATTTCCACTTCTACTCGCCCTTCTGCGAGACGGCCGAGGCCACCGAGACAACCAGTCCCACATCGTCGGGTGGGTTATCCGCGGTGCAGGCCATGCCCGAGGCGACGTCGCCGGTGCCGGCCGTCACGACCTCGGCCGACTCGGCGTCCGGCTCCGACACTGGGGGCAGCAGTCCGGCCGAGGTGTTCCTTGGCGGGCCCAATCCCCGGGATGCCGGAAGTCATGCAGTCACCCCGCACTCCGGCACCTCCGGATCACCCCCACCCCCGGCCTTGGCGTCTGACGCCGGGATGGTGGTCGACGGCCCCACCGCCTCCTCCTCTTCCTCCTCGATGGCCTTGTCCGGCAACGCCAAGCGAGGCCCCGCCGCCTCCGGGCGGCGCACACCCCCCATCGCGACCCCGGCCACAGTCAGCCCGGCAAACCCCCTTGAGCTCTCGGTGCGAGGGTCTTTTCATCCTGGCCGCCCACTCTGCCGGCCTCCTTCTCCTTGCCCACTTCGCTCTTGGCTTGTCTGACACCAATCTCAGTGCCGCGACTGCGGCTGCAAGGTTGATACCACCAGCTTCACCTGGACCTCGGAGGACTTCTACCCGGCTCAGCCTATACCGGCTGACAATGGACTGCCCAGTGGCAACCCCACCAACCCGGATGACCCGCTGTCCTACGTGCCCATCAGCAACTCCACGATCCCCTGGGATTTGTGCCGGTCGTGTGTGGTACACTTGTCGATCTTTGGTCATCACTGGCCCACTCGCATCCTGAAGCGTCGCCGAGTATGTCCTCCTCGTACACTCCTTCTTGCTGTCTCTCCCCGCCCTCCTTGGCGATGGCATCTATCGAGGTCCATTGCTCTTCCTCTCCGCGTCGCACACTAATGTTACCCCCCCCCCCCCCCCCCCCGCCCCGCCCGGGGGGCGGGGGG